CATCTCCATGGGCTGATACAGATACTAAACAAGACAGCGATGGAAGCAGATCCCTGGGGAAACTGACAACAGAAACAGTCTTGATCACAGCTATCTCCCAAGTAACTACTACTTTTTATTATCTATCATTAGAGGTTTTTAATCCCTCTAATGTGTGTTGTGCTTGAGATAAGTATCACTTTTCTTAAAAATTGGTCACTTGGAGAAATTCAGTTGGTTGAGCAATGTTTCACTCTATCAGTATTGCTTTGTACAATCCTGTCAAAATAGACATGACAGCATTTGTCTGCAAAGATGTATATTACAAAGTTCTGCTAAATAGATACTAACATGTTTTTTCAGATTCTAATAGGCTTCTCTAAAATGTTCCAAATTTATTTTTATCTTGGATCAACATACAGATAGATAGTTCTCAACTCTTTGGGTCATCCCTTTCAGTTTTTTTCAATAGTGAATTTTGGTGGGCAGTGTTCCACCCTTCTGCAACTCCTCTAGCTTACAAGAATTGGTTAAAAATTAGTATTCATGAATAATGGAGCTCCTTGCTGTGGCTATTATTATTGGACATACCATATCTAGATCTGCTGTTTTTTAAATATCAGTGAGTAGTGTCTCATCCTTCTCTGTTATTAATTATGTAGAAAACAAGATGATGTAAAAATACCCCCTCTAAAATTCTAAACACAATCAGTCGGGGGTTGTTTTTGCCCTGTTTGATTTTTTGTTTTGCTGTTGTTTGTGGGGTTTCCCCCAAAAATACACAACTACCTCCTGATTTTATACTGTACCCATACATAGACCTTTTATCTTTGCATGTAAAAAACCTGATGGGTTCTCTAAACTTAGGTCACCAGTATCTCCACGACAAGCACATTTCATTTCTCACCTGCTTCTTTGCTTAAGTTTGCACCTATATTCGCTGCTATTTACTTCCTCCTCCTTGCCTGAAGTGCAGAATAGCTTTGAGTTTTATTACCACAGTCTCAGCAACTGTGGAATCATGCCTTCTTGGCCATTAGTATGATGCTGCTGAATACTTTATGGCTTCCATTAATACTTCCCTTTTAAAGGTACCTTCCTGGGCAGTTATCCTGCCAATTGTTTAAACTCCAAGAAACAGACTATTCTAAAGCTCCTTACAGTGCTGCCTGATGCCATATTCTGTTTGCACAAAGCAAATACAGACAAATAACAATCACTGGTACCTAGGCAACGGTGGGATTTCAGGTCAGCTATTAACTCTTCTTTATCTGCAAGAACAAGGTCAACTATTGATTTATTCCACAGTGGGTGCAGAACTGTGTGCATTAAAAAACTACCAACTCCTTCTAGAAGCTTTCTGGAAGCCTCTTCATTGGCCTCATGAAATGTAAAGTAAATATTACCTGTTTTAAGCAGACCATATGATTTGCCTCCCTGTAAGATGCATATATATATATATAAGGAAATGTTTGGCCTATTACTGAGGATATCTCAAGGACCTGTTAGAAACACATTATGGCTGAAAGATGGCTGGAACCCAAATACTTTGAATTTGTTAAGAAATCCTTACATTTGCAGCTCTGCCAAATGATGCAGGTTTAGAAAGCGTTATGTAATATGTATTTAATCACACATGGAACAACATGTCTCAAGTCCACCTCTACTCAAGTCTGGACAAAAGCATTAGATATTTTCTGTGCCCCAGGACTGGGCTGACCTCTCGCATGCTGTTCCATCCTTGAGGGGACTTCTTTACTCCCTCCCTACCATCACATTTATTTCTTCCTCCACGGCTTTACTGTCTACCCAATTTCCCTCTTTGTACAGTAGCTTGGGAAAATCACTCCAGGCAAGGATTTTGAGTCTCTCAGTAATGACGTTGAGGAGATGTGACCTGACACACAGAAGGGAGAGGGAGAAGATGGGGGTTACAGGCTAGTCACAGCTGAAGACTCAGACAACCATGAGTCCCCTTTAGGAGTAAGGGTAGGTTTCAGTGAGTCACCCAAAGGAAAGCATCTTGATCCTGAAAAAGAAATAGGAGCAAGCAGGATTCAGAGAGCATGCTCTCCTGCTCGAGGCTATGAGCATGCTGAGAGAAGAATACTGAAAGAAAAAGGAAGATGTGCAAGAATCATTCATTATTTCCTTGGCAAAGCAGCAAAGTTCTCTATTACAGAAAAATGGCACATGGGGTGTTACGTGTCCCAGGAAATGAACACTCTGCTGGCAGACATAACTCCCAGCAACCACAGGGCCAGGTGAGCTACCAAAAAGTTTTACAAGGAATTATCATTTACCCAGTTAAAATCACATCAGTGTGCTGGAACTTGAGATGAGATCATGTTTAGAGAAAAAATAAACACTAGAGGAACACCAGAAACCAATTCATATAGCATTATCCCCCATTCCTCCTAAGCACAAAAAGGGCACCATGTAGGCCCAAAAAAGGAGAAGAAATCTTAAAGCGAGTAGTTAGGGTGCATTTTCTACAAGTCACTTCTTAGGACAGCAGTTCATTTAAACTGCCTTGGTGTCCCAATCTGCAAAGCACAGGCAAAAGCCACCAGGACAGGGATGTCTTTGTCATTTCCATCTCACCCAAGTCTCCTACACCAGGAGCACATGGCAGAAAAGCATCAAGGTGAGCAAGTGTGAAAAGGGCTAGCTGCCAATTAAGCAGTCCCAGGAGAAGGGACAGCAATGGGGAACACTTTATGTAAGCGATGCAGCTCCCAGGAGAGGGGAGCAGCCGTAGCACAGAGCAGGATGTGATAAATACATTGTAGATTGTAGCAGGTGGTCCAAGAACTGGCTGTGATTTCAGCAACCATTTGTCCAAACCGGACGGAACTGCCTACTGCGCAGCCCTGCAACAGCAAAGAGCAGGCTAGGAAAACCACAAAGCAGAGCAGAAGATTCAGCAATCACAGACTGCCAGGAGATGAGTTTAATTCTGAAAACATTCCCACAGGCATCAAGGCTATAACAACAATCTAAGGTATGAACAACATGGAAGCAAACCCAGGCCTCTTGTAACAGAATTACAGATCCATGGTTTTGGCTGGGGATTGACTCCAGAGGTCATTTGGTGCATCACCTGCTCAGAGCAGGTATAATGAGATCTTTTTGGCCAGGTTATGTCTAGTCAAGTCAGATACCTTCAAGGATGGAGGCTCCACAACTCATCTGGGCAATGTGTTCCACTGTTTCAGCATCCTCACAAAAACCCTAACATTTTCCCAGTATCTAATTGATAAATCAAAGGCAGAGAGGCCCTGGAAAAAGACCTAGACAAATTAGAGGGCTGGGCAATCACCAACCATATGAAATTTAACAAGGACAAGTGCCAGATTCTGCACCTGGGATGGGGCAACCTTGGATGTACTGACAGATTAGATATGTCAGATAAGAGAATGGGATTCTGGAGAACAGTGCTGCAGAAAGGGACTGAGGAGCCTGGCTGACAGAAAGCTGAGTATGTAGAAAGGCATGAAATTCACTCTTGTTGAGTACATTGACATTTCCCTCAGCCCATTTCTTCAGCCTGGCCAGGTCCCTCTGAATAGCAGCCTTACCCTTCTGCATTTTGACCACTGTTTTGTTCCTTTTGTACTGTCCAAGCTACAGACAGATAAGCCAAATTCTTCTCTCATTTATAGCACTGAACTCCATGAATTAGATACATTTACAATACTGCAACACTACTCTGCATTCAAGTGTGTGCCTTTGTGCATGCATACACACCCACACAGATGGCTCAGGAGATGCAACAACTGAAACAGAAATACTACAGGATTTGGAGGAGCAGCTGCTGTGAGTAAGGACCAAGGTATACACTCCAAGCCTAAGGTGACAAGAGCTTTGGGCTTTCCTGACTTTGATTCTTTGGACTGCACCTTAAAAAGGCAGCAGAAATAATAATAAATATTTCTGAATACTTTAAAACATGCCATCAACCAAGGATCATATTATAATTATATCAACAAGTCAAATATTTCCTGATGATGATATGACATATAGATAACTTCACCTGAAGGTTAGGTCATGAGACATCCAGCTCGTTTATCCATACTCACATGGAATGAATCACCACATGTACTCACATAAACAATTCTTCCTCTAAGAGCTTAAAAATCAAGAATCATGAATAGCATCCAAGGATTAGGGAAGAAAAACTATGTGGACAAAAGAAATGGAAGGTATATCATATACAATATAAAACACCATCTGACTTGCACTAGCTTTTCTGCATGCAATCACTGCTTGGCAAATTGTTTGCAGCCACCTTTCATCACAGAAATAGATCACGTGGAAAGAAATACTTCAACATGTTTCTAATGCAACTGAAAAACAGTGCTTTGCAAGTCGGTGTTTAATCCTGGCCTATACTCAGAAATAAGGTGAGGTTTCATTTTGTTTTGGTTTTTTTTCCTAAACCAATTGTTAGATTACACTGCTCAGAGAAGTTGTGAGTTGCCCCCAAGCAGTGATGTATGCCCCATCCCTAGAGGTGCTCAGAGCGTGCTTTGCAAGTCGGTGTTTAATCCTGGCCTATACTCAGAAATAAGATGAGGTTTCATTTTGTTTTGTTTTTTTTTCCTAAACCAATTGTTATATTACACTGCTCAGAGAAGTTGTGGGTTGCCCCAAGCAGTAATGTATGCCCCATCCCTGGAGGTGCTCAGAGTCAGGCTGGATTGAGCTCTAAGCACATCTAGTGAAAGATGTACCAGTCCATAGTAGGGGTGTTTGAACTGGATGATCTTTAAGGTCCCTTCCAACCCAAACCATTTTATGATTCTATGAACATCTCAATAGCAAGAACACTGTTATAGTTCTCGTGTATTTATCAGCTAAGTTAAACACTATCAATTGTCCTAATCCTGCAAATATATTAAAGTGTGCTGACTAAACTAAGGAGGAAGGGCTTTTCAATCACACAAATACACAGCACCAGCTGTCCCACCTGTGGAGAAGGAGAATCTGCCATGCCTGAAGAGGCGTTCATAACTTACCCCAAACATCTGCCGAAGGTCAGGATCTCGAAAGCGGAAGGGAATGTTAGACACATGAAGTCGTTTTGGAGTGGATTTGCTCTCAGTATTCTCACTGTTCTGTGTCTGTGATTGCTGTCCATCTGTCTGTGCCCCTCCTTCTGTCTGCTGAAATCAGAAAAGACAAAAGTGTGCGCATGAGCAGAAATCACACAATTTCCTTTCACATGTCTTGTCTGCCCATTCTTAGGTATTAGCACTGCACTTGCAATGGAGCTATCTAGCACCTGACAATTATTTTGATACACCCAGTAGCACTTAACAATCGATCTGTTGTTCTTCCCCTCCCTTTCCACAAGTAAACACTAATGAGATCTCAGCCTCCCTCCCCTCCTATCACCTTCCAGCTTAGTAGATTTGTCTGTGGTTTTCTTAAATTGCTTCTCTCTTTTAGCCTGTTCTTCCTCACTTCAGCTGCCACCATATGAAAGCTCTAATGAAGAGACAGATCTTTCATATCCTGGAGCTGGGAGGTAGCACTGCCACTCTAATCTCATGTGGCAGGATGTTCATGCAATCATCAAAATCCCACAGCTGAAGTGGCAGCTCTTCACCAGGCCAATACCAGAAGTGCATCCCGAGGCAAAACGGCATCTGCTCTGTCAAGCTCCCTTCAGAGAAACATTACCCTAAAAGAAGATCTATAATTAAATGGTAAAATCCATATAGGAACAGCTTACGGATGTCTCTGATTAACTTTTCACATACATTTAAGTGAGCCCAGGAACAGGAAACAGTTTTCACCCCTGCAAGATTTATAAAAATTCCAAGTGCTGCTTTTTGCTACCAATTCCACAGCTAAGAAAGGTGACTTGTTCCACTCTTCTCAAGCGCTGACTGGCATGGCCAAGAGAGGTCAAGGGGTACACCAGGGGTATTTGTTAACAGAAAAAGTACAAGAAGCAGGCAGAGGAATAAGGGAGATCTGTGTGCCAGGTGAGAGTCCTAATGCCTGCACAGAGATTACTGGCAGGAGAGAAGTAGGGAATAGAACCTCAGCCGCTTGTGTGAGCTTAGAGTGAAAAGTGCTAAAATTTGAGCACAGCCCCAAATATAAAGGCATGGCCCCTTTGCAAAATGGCTTGATGAGAAAATAGCATTTTTCACACTTTAGTCAGAAAGATGACCTCAAAACCTCAGAGCCACAGAACAAAGCAGACTACAATTTAGTTGGTTTTATTGCTCTTGTCCCTTTCCAACTGCATTCACTGACAGGCCAAGGTATTCAAAGAGCACCCACCCACTCACTCTGTCTCCTGCCGCTTGCCTCTGACTCCTAGGAGTTAAGCTTTGACTACCTGTGTGATGCACTTTTAAGTGTCATTTCAACTCTTTAGATGCCAACCTGACTTCCTCCTTAACCTATCAAGTAAAAAGTCCTACAAAAAGGCAAGGACTGTAATTGCCAAGAGTCAGTCTTTTTAGGGCACTTTCAAGAAAACACGTGGGCCTTAAAGACATAAGGAGTGAGGTTTTTGCTGGTTTGGGTCCTTTTTTCCTTCTGTTTTAAATACGCAATTTATGTACTAAAGATGAAAGAAATCTGAGGGGAGTTGCCCACACCAATTCCCCAACCACTGACTGGACTTGCTAGGCTGCTCTGCACATCATTCAGTATACAACACTTCACAAACATTTGGAAACATCTCTTCACAGACAAACTTAACTGGCAACACTAAGAAAGTATCTTCTGCTCAGAAATACCACTTAAAATATGACCTTGAACTCGCAGATTGATTACAAAGCAAGTGTATATACGAAGACAAGAGCAAGCAAACAGTAAGCACTGGGGTCTTGCCAGTCTGAGCAGAGCAGTGGCAGCTTTCCATCTCATTTCAGTAGAGCTGTGCTTACAGCACAAAACATGTTTGATCTGGTTAACATAAATTATCTATGATAGGAAGAATGACAATACTGCCCTGACAAGTATGTCTACTTCCCATAGCTGTGCAAATCTTAGGAGAAGCCTTGTAGAATGAAGTATTTTTATTTGTCTAAGACTCATTCACTCCCCAAGCATCAAATTTTTGAAAAAAAAAAACTTTAGAAAGTTCCTTTTGATCTTACCCAAAAGCTGTCCCCCACATGTTCAACCTCTTCTCCTTCCCTCACCTCTGACAAAAAGGCTCTCCAAACTCCTAGAGAGTCACCCTAGGGGAGGAATCAATGCAGCTGGCTTGCAATTAAGTCACACCACGCTACTTAATGGTTTTATTTTTATGCCTCCATCAGAGTCCTCTGCTCCTCAGGGCAAATCTGTCCAAGACGGACAAAACACAGGAGTAGCTTATCTACCACCACTGCATACAACACCTGCAAGTGACTACTCCAAAGTAACTCCCAAAAATCACCAATACTCCTGCTAAAAGGGACAGCTATGTTAAAACAGAGGTTGCGCAGGACTGGATCTGCTGTTTCCACAGGGGAGGAAGCCATAGTGCTGTTTGCACTCCTCTCCCTTGCATTTGTTCCCAGGCAGAGGGCAGAACTCCTTTCTTACCAAGGGTGCAATGTATCATGCACAGTGGCCTGCTCAAAAGCACTCACAGCTGTTCCTGCATATGGCAGAGAGCTGCTGCCACACAGGAGTCATTCTGCAGCACGTGAGACGTGTACAGTGAGACAAATGCTTCAAAGAGAAGAAATGACAGAAGGAAAAAAGGGATCTTGGTTCACTCTTTTTTAACTGCACTGAGAGACTCCAAATGCTTTTCATGCTTTCACATAGCCTAATTTTTCAGTAGTAGTATAAAATTAAATATCATCTTCCCTATGCTGTAGCTCTCTCATCTCTATCATCCATGGCCCTAAGGTACGATTTGAACTTTCCACCACTGTAACATTAGCTCAGTACATTTGTCCACTGCCACACATTCAGCTACAACATAAATGAAAAAACCAGTCTCTTCAGATTTTTTTTTTTCCTTTTACAGTTATTCCTTGGCTTAGTTCATTAGGAGGGAGATGAAAGGAAGGGCCTGGAGCCTGTTCTCAGGCACCTCACAACAGAGCCTGGCAGCTGTGCTACCCTGACCAAACCAGATGATGAAAGCCCTCATTTCACCAAATGCTCACTCCCCACCTTGACTCCTGCCCAAGGTATTCAAGCTCCTTCTGGCCTCGTGTCAGCACTTCCCGTGAAGAAAGAAACCTCTCCCATCTGTAGAGAGTCAGCTCAGAAGGGCACTAATATGCATTCCCTAGGTCCCAAAGCCTCTCATCAGGCTATACAGACAGGCTGCAGCAAAGGTCTCACATTTAGGAGCAGTACTGGATTCACTGCACCTCCTCAGCATAGCCCGTGTAACATGCACTGATGCAGGTGATGATGCCATTCATGCCTGCACAGGAACACTTTGAGCTCTGCTCAAGGTCACAAGAAGCACATCAGAGTTTGGGACAGCAAAACATGTGCTTCACTTTTAACTCCTTGCTGCCTGTGTCCCCAGGTCAGCTCCTTCTTTACGCCTGCCAGCAGCAAGGAAACCCTAAGGAAGAAAAGGCAGCTGCAAAGAGAAGCACGGATTATACTCGTGCACGTACACACGCAAAAGGGGAGGAGGACACCTGGCAACATGAGAGTGTTCCAAAAGGTTTGGGGCAGCTCTACAACCACCTTCCCACCACTCAACTGGTCTTCTCTATCCTAATGCAGGTGATGAACAACTAATTGCTGAGGATTTCCCCTCAGCAGCAGGGAGGCAGGGGCTCCAGCACCACCTGAGCCCCGAGCAGAATGGCCAGACAGAGGGATGCCTCCCCAGCAAGGCAGACAAGCACTGCTGCAACACACCAACACAGAGATTATTAATACCAGCACATTCTGTTTCCATCTCCCACTTGCTTCTAGAACTGGAACCGCTTCAGATCCAAGTTCCAGACAAACAAAAAACAACCCCCCATTCTCTCACCCAGGAAGCAGGCGGTCCAAAATGTTGTGAATCATACTGAGGAGGTTAAGAGCCATAAATCATTGCAAAGAAAATATTTACAAAATACAAACTGTAACTAATAACTATATTTAAAAGGGGATTTGGGTGGCTTACAAAATCTAGGAGACAGACTGTGCTCACTCCACTGCTCCTCAATCAGTCTGGATCCAAAAAAAGCCAAAACCAAACACCCAACCCTTGTTTGGATCAAGAGCTTGAAGAACTGCGGAGACAAGGACCAAAAGCTACAACTGGGAGAAGGCAATCTTCCCACAGTGAAGCAGAGCTTGTGGAACAGGTACTGAGGAAAAATATGAGCAGAACAGATAATGTGGAAAAATCTCTACAACTTCTAGTGAAGAACCTGTGTCAAAACAACCAGTCACCCCCAATGAAGAGATACCCACTGAGGAGATTTCATGGAAAAACAAGTGAAGAATTAGGCCTCAGACATAAAATCCATCTCCTTCCCCACCACACTCCACTAAAGTAGGTTTGAGGTCCCACACATCCAATAGCAAATGCTATGGGAACTTCAGTTGCTTAACACTTGTTCAGTAGACAGAAGACCATAAGGCTAATTATCACTTTTCAACAGCAGTAAATACAATTTTTTATATATATATAATACATTTATATCCATGTACTTGTTTTTTCAGAGATGCCCACAGTGTTACATTAAAAAAAAAATTGGGGGCTACTTACTGCACAATTAACCATTATCCCAAATATTCTGTATGCTAAAAAAACAGAACCAAAAATTCTAACATACCAATGAACATATATAAGGCTTTTTACTATTTTCCACACAGTCAGGTGAATTTAGGGGATATTTTTCTTCTGATTTTTTTCTGTTAGTTACCTATTTTCAGACATTATGAAACTTAAGTCATTTTATTCACTTTCCTCATGAAAGACATACCTCACAGAACACAAACCTAACATAGGAAAGCACATAGGGAGCTTTGCTATGCTGCACAATATCTCTGACGTGTCCAGTAACATTTTCAACTCAAAGATGGGTATTTCTAACAGTACTCTTTAGTGCTTTTTTCTTTTTCTTTCCCCTCTCAACGAAGCGGTGAAATGGAGCCCCCTGAAAGGCCTGCTCTGCTGATCAGATTGTCAAACCTTTTGTGAGCAGTTCCAGCCCATTCCTCGCAAAACAGGGATGCC